GTGTCTTACCCACATATTTCCCCAAAAGAGAGAAAGTTTCATCACTGCCAGAGCCAGCCCGGGGTTCTGCTGCACCTCTGGCAGGTGAAGCTCATTTTCTCCTCAACTGAGTCATCGCTGCTCTTCTGCTTTTCACATCCAGTTTAATGCAAAAGGTAGAGCAGAGGCAGGAGTTAACTTCTGATGAGCCTGAGCTACATGGGATTAATTCTCAGAGACTAATGAGTCGCCAGGCCATCCCAGCTCCATCTGGGTAAGTTTGTTGAGCCCTGGGAGCCGTGCCAGGAGCTCTAACAACCAGAGCCGCAGCACAAACAAGCCCATTCAAACACAAATGGTGCTCGAGACACCAGCCCAGCCCCAAGGACAGGCAGTGCTGCTGCTGCTGCTGCTGCTGGGGAGAGCAGAGAAACTCACAATAAATGAGATTATTATGGATGGCTGCACCCGAATCCGGGCTGTAGAATCCTCTTCCTACAGGGGGATACACAAATTGCAGGCAGACCCTGTAATTGCCACTGGGAGCTGGAGGAGAGGCCGGTTGCAATCACAAACCAAACTGCTCTTTGGCGAGCAGGAGGGAGAGGAAGGCAGCCTGACAGCCATTTCCAGCCAAGGAGAAAGAAGGAAGCACGAGGCACTGCCCCAAGCTCTCCAAAATAGTACGAGATTTCCACTAAAATGCAAGGAAGGAAACACGTTGCTTTGAGGCCAGGCCAGGAAAGGCTCCTCGTTATTTTTCTGAGTGCAGTCATTAACAGCTCTCTGCCCCGAGCTTCCTGGCCCTCAGAACGATTCCACACTCTGGATGGGTTGGGATCAGCAGGGTCACCGAGGCAGCAGCACCCAGGGAACACCCAGAGGGACCCCCATCCTTCCCCTGCCCTTGGCCAGGGTTTGGTGTTGGCATTCCTTGTCCCAGCCTGGGTTAACAGCCAGCACTGAAGTCATGACTGGGAGCACCATGATCCATCCTCAAGGAGGGGGGGGGAAACCAAGAAGTCAAGTTCTTCCTTAAAAAAAACAAGAAGAAAAACTGCCTTCCCATGGAGGCTCCCCTGTGCAGGGTCAGCCCTGCCAGGCAGGGCTTGGGGCCCAACCTGCAAGAGCTGCTTTGTGCAGCCACTTTGGCACCTCATTTCCACTGGGGAACCACTGCTGGCCCCCGGACTGAATTCTGATGCCAGACTAAATTTGGTGCCTGCAGGGACTCAGGGACAGGGCTCATCCTGCCCCTCTGGGTGCCCAGAGCTCTCCCTGGCCCTCCCATCTGTGATACACCCAAAGAGATTGCGAAAGACTTTCAGTTTTGCAGGGAGAGGCCCTCGCTGAGCTCAGTGCAGAGGCACAGGCAGCTCTTAGGCCTAAACTCTGCCTTTCAAGTTATTTCGGGGTGTGAGGGAAGGAGGGAGAGTGTTTGCTTTGTAACCAAAAAGCTGCAAGAGCTTAAAATTGTCATCTGGGAAAGGAGGCCAAAAGCCGGCGCTATAAAACCTGCTTCGGAGGCAGAACACCCTTCTGCTTCATAAGCTTGATAAAGTAAACCCAACTGTATAAACTGGAATACTGGCACGGAATGTGCTTGAAGCAAATCCCCCACAGCCACACGGTATTTAACAAGTCGTATTTAACAAGTCGTTACAGTGAACCTCACGCAAAGTGTCACCACCACTTACCCCCCCCTTTTGTGGGTGTTCAGCACTGCTCAGGCTCGTAGAGGATCCCCTGTCCACAAGAGCATCCCCAAGCAGCTGGAACACGATGGCCTCAGTGGTGTCAAAGATGCACAAACCCCTCACTTCTCGCCCTGGAAGCGCCTTGGAGCATCACCAGCCCTGTTAGAAGAACGACCTCTCCCACCAGACATATGTTTGGACCTAAAAGTGGCTCCAAAAGCCGCTCCTCAGCTCGCCCAGGAGCAGATGAACTGCAGATTATTCCCGTGTGCTTTGGGAGAAGGAAGCGACAGCCAGGACCCAGAGCTGCTCTCCTCCCCTCAGTGTGAAAGATGGGACAGGGAGGCATTGTCAGAGTCCTGTCAAACGTAAAGCAAACTCCGGCCAGCGGGATAACACGGGCCCCAGACCGGCACATCAGCCTTCAGAGCCTTCGCCCAGACAGAAAAGCTTTTTCCCTGCACTTAAAGCAACAAACCCCCTCGGCTGGGAGCTCCAGCCAGCCCACAGGGCTTTTCCCAGCACAATTCCCACCAGTCCTCCCAAGGACACCAATCACTCAACGTTCTTAGTTCACCACGACAAAGTGTCACTCGCTGACGCTGCCTCCAGGGTCGGGACAAAAGCGTTAGAGAGGCTCCATGTCCAGGAGCCTCCTTGCCTGGCCACCCTCCAGGTCAGATCTGGCCTGGCCTCTGCCTTCAGGGAGAGGTGTCAGAGAATGTCCCATGTCACCTCAGCTCAGCCACAGGTCTGCCCAGACACCACAAAGGGCAGGACAACAGGGTTTCATCACTGTGGTGAAAAAAGCAAACAAGACCCAGAAGCTCAGGTGATCTGGAACTGCCCTCAGGAGGTCCCTCTGCTCACTCCCACTGAGCTGAGGACCCTGGTTTTCCAGTGCCTGGTGAGCACCTCTGGGGTTTGGGGGTCAGGTCTCACCACAAACAGCATCCCCTGGTCCCCCTTCTACGGGCAGAGTCCCCAGAGAGCAGCAGCTCCTGCTCTTCAAATCCTGACTTTAACTCATCCTTGCCAAACATTACCAAAGCAGCCATAGCTTGGCAAAACACATGCCTGAGAGCCCCCAGTTTAGAGCCAAAGAGCAGATTTCCAACACCAAAAGGTATTTTTGTCCAACAGGTTTCGAAGCCTTGGATGAACACGAGACAAAACCCAACATAAACCAGCAAGTCAACAACTTCCCTGGGCAAGAAGATGGAGAAAGACCATCTCTAAATCATCCTGTCGTGACCAAGTCATGTTTCCCTCCTGGTTTCTGGAGGGAAGATGGACTCTGCAGGATGTCCCTAAGGTTGCTTTACACTAAGAGACAAGGGAGAGACCAACCTGCAAGACCCCCAAGCAGGACTCGCGGGGAGCACCTGGACAGGGTGTTCGGTTTGATCCCATCAAACACAGCGTCCACCTCAACACTGCACCGAGCAGCATGGCCCCAGGCACTGCCTGTGGCCATATGGTTGCTCCAGGACCTTCTCCAGAACAGGAAGAACTACACAGGAAGTCCCTGAGCCCTCCACTGAGGTCAGAAAAGCCACCACTGAGCCTGGGTCTTCAGACCCAGAGGTCCATCTGTCTCCAGGGTGACAATGGGCAGGAGCACATCCCATCCCACTCCAGCTGAGGAACACGGCATGAGCTTCCCCATGAGCTCAAGCAAAAGCTCTTCCTTCTTCCTACACACCTCAACTGAACCCTTGCAGCCCAGTGAACAGCTATTCCAAAGGCAGAATCCCAGACACAGGCAGGCAGCCCCTGGATCTCGGCACTACGGCTCTCGGGTCGCCTCGTGTGTCTTCATTAACAGTGATCCATCTTCAGCCCTGCTCTCCCTCCCAGCAGGGACAGCAGCAGTGCCAGAGATCTACTACAGGAGAGAGAAATAATTCAGGTTTAAGGAAGGAAGGAAAAGCCTCCGAGACCCACTGTTCCTTCCCGAGCCGAGATAATTACAAGAAAGCCACGACAAGCCTTGGAGGACGCAGTATTTTACCTAGGAAATGCCTGAGTGACCTAGAAACTGGAGTCCCATTTCCTGAAATTATTTCACCACTTCAGAGCCCTTGTTTCAATGAAAGCAAGGGGAAAAAAAAAAAGCTGCTGAAAATGAAACATAAGAGCCCAGGTCGAGCTGGAACATATTTTTCCCCGCAATGTGTGTGAATGGTTTGAAGGGAAGAGCAAAGGAACGGGAGAGTGAGAACCTACGGATAAAACTCCTGCCCGTGAATTAAAACAGCTGAACCAGCAGCAGCAGGATGGGGCCAGGAAGGCACTGTGCTCCTCTGCTCGTAAAGGAAAAATATCCTGTCCCACCTGTTATTATTCCATCCCACCTGGGCACTTTGCTTTATTCAGCATTCAGAGGCGCACACGCTTCACGTCGCCACGATTTGATACACGAGCCCTAAAATCAGAGGGGAGCAAGAAATATTCCAAACAGAAGCAATGTGTAGAAAGCTGGGGCATTACAGTGAGTTGTTTAAGTGTTTTGGGGGTGAACAGAGGTGTGATTTCCCAGGTAGGAGTTTTCCATAACTCAGAGGTGAGACCTCACGTGGGGCAGGATGCGGCGTCCTAAACGGGCTCCTACACACGGGGGGCTTTGCAGGCACTGGAAACGGGGACCTGCCAAAAAGCAACGCCATGAAGCACCTCAGGAACAAATCCCACATCCCAAACAGGATCCTCTCCCTTCTCCACATGGAATAAAGTCCCATTTTTAACCCTTCTGTCCCTCTGGAATCTCCTCGGGGATGTCTCCGTGGGGCTGGGAAAGCACCAAGTCCCAGACCCAAAATTCTCCAAACCCTCCATCCGCAACTTTTGAGGGAAAACCCCTCAAGATCTGCAAAAGAACCATTTTCTTGATGTTGGAAAAGGTCTCCAGGATCACAGAATTCAAGAAAAACCTCCCAGGAAATACAGGGCAGCCGGAGCTTTCCCATTGGAGCATCCACAGGGAAAGATAGCACAGAATTAGTGAAAAATAGTCATAAAACCCTCAACGCCCTGAAAATATCCAGCGGGACACTGAGGCTGATCCATCAAGTGGTCGGTGGAGAATTTTGAGGCCAGTTTTCCAAGTCTTCCTCCCATCCCAAGCTGCTGGTTTGGCAGCTCCAGCTCCTGAGACCCCCGAAATCCCACCTTCAAGAACCCCGGGGGGGGACAACGACACCACAAAGCACCTCAGGAAACAGGAAACAAAGCAGTGTGAGTTGGGAAGATGGGAGATATCCACACTGAGGGCCAACATCCCTTGGGAACTTCTCAGCACCTCCACCAGACGAGGCACTTGCTCATTAAACCGCTGCCACACTCGGGACCACAACTGAGGATCCGGATGCTGAGCAGTGCTGGGCTCTGACACAAACTCCAGGTAGGCAACAGTGAGCTCTGCCATATAAAGACTCCTAAATCTGACTGAGGTCGTAGATAAACCTCCCCAGCCCTGTTTTGACACCGTCAGTGTGCCCCATCCTGCTGGATGCTCTGCTGTGTCACATTTTTGGGGTCCAGCGGTGCATCCCGGGAGCTCCGGTGACAATCTCAGTCTGGATCTCGCCTCCCTCTGCTCCTCATCTATTTTACCAACGCTCAAAAAAAAAAAAAGGAAATATTCCTACTGCTGGAAGAGCAGAACAGGCAGCAAGTGGCTGCCAGACCTGCCTGCAGATCCCACCGCAACGGGAACGACACAGGGGGGACCTCACATTAATTACATTAATTGGCAAAGCTTTCCCTCCCCACACACAGCTCCCTTCAGCTTCACCAGCCGAAGTTCAGCCTCACTTTCCAAAACTCCAAGGCTCTGCAGCACCTCCAGCCATGGCCACGACCAGCCAGACCTCTGGAAACAATCGATTTTAACTAATTGCAACCATTAATTGCTTAGCGATTAAAGATCTGTTGCCTTCGCCTCAGCAGACTCAGCACCGACAAGAGGCTTTGGGCAGCCACCCAACAAGCCACGTTCTGCTCCAAGTGTGCTCTCCTCCCTCTGGAAGCAGTTAAAGGGGATAAGGCAGCTCGGTGACACAGGTATAAATACACTCACTTTCCCCGGCGCTGCCAAGTCCGTAACACGCCGAGGGCTGTGAACGGCGGCTCTTGGAGTAGGATTGTTATTCCAAACAGTGCCGAAGGTATTCGGAGCGAGGGCTCTGCCAGCCTGGGCTGGAAAACGTTCTCCACAAGCACAAAACCCCCAGCTGTGCAGAGCTCTGCTCCCTGCAGCACCACGGGCGTCCCAAAGGCAGGGAAGGGGCGAACTCCGAACCACGGAGAGGTTTGGGATGGAAGGGACCTCGCAGACCCCCTCACTCCAAGCTTCACTCTGCTCAGGACTCCAGCCACAACTTGCATCTCACACTGAAGGAGCTCAAATGTCTTTTTTTTGGGAGAAGGGGAGGAAAAAGTCTGAATACTCGCTGCTTTTAGGGCTTTTTGGCGGCCTTGCCCACAAAGGGAGCTCAGAGCTCCATGAAGAACCCCTGGCGTGGGCAGCAGCTGGCAGGGCGGCTTTGTTTGTCCATGAACCAGCTCCCCTCGGCTGGCACAGTGGCTCCAGCACTGCTGAGATCCCTCACACAGGGTGGGACAGCCAGTGGCATTCCAGACTCTCCGGGGCCAGCTCGCTCCTGCAGTGGGAGCGGCAGCGCCGTTCCCAGTCCCTGCGCTGCTCCCTGGGAGCCACACGCACTGCTTTGGGTGGAAAACCTCAAAAAACGGCTGCTCTCACTTGGGAGCTCCACTCTGCACCTGTCCTGGGGTCCCTGCTCACCTCCTGCAGCAAACAGGACACTTGGGGCTCAGGGAATTCACCTCCCTCCCCCCAGCTCAGAGCTCAGAGGGAGAGCCAAAAAAACCCCCACAATAAACCTGGGCTTAGCCAGGGTGAAGCCTCTCTGTGCTGGGGCTGAGGAGAACCCCAAATTCCTGGTGTTCCAAACCCAAGGGTCCCACTCCACAAAGGCATGGGAGGACTGACTCTGCCCCAGGTGTGCAGGAGGGGGGAAAAGCAAAGGAGCCTTCTGGAATTCCAAGCAGGAAACTGAACTTCAGAGAAGAAATTAAGCCAAACTCCCCACGAGCCAAGACTAATTGCAGCAAAACACACCACAAATACCAGCTCTGGAGAGGGAGAAAAACCCCAGCACGAATATCAACCAGTGGCTTGGAGAGGAACCTCTGTGGGCACCTCCACGGCTGGACAGTGGGAATGGGTAGTGGGAGTGGACACTGGGAATGTTGGTGCTCTCCAAGGCATGTCCTACGGCTCATCTGGGAGTTTAATCTCTCTAAGCAGATTCCCACACACCTCAAGCCCAAACAGGAACCACTTCTGGCTCCCCAGGAAAACCCAGGCCACTGGCTCAGCCCACCCCACTCACCCATGGTGCTCCCAGTCCCTTGGAGCCAAAACTGTGAAACCAGATCGCTTGAAATGGGGCAAAAATAATGAATGAATTACAGGAAGCAACAGGTCCCCAGTCCTGAAGGTCTGTCACAAAAAGGTTATTTTCTCCCAGCATTTCCTCTCTGACTGCAACACAGTTCGGAGCTGAATGACCAGGGGAAGAGCAGTTTTGGTAATCTGGCCTCAATTCTCAGTGCCAGGAATGTGAAAACAAACAAACAAACAAACAAACAAAAAAAAAAAAACAAGAAGGAAAAAAAAAAGTCCCCAAGAAAGTCCAGAGGATAAATAAACCCAAACAGACACGCAGCAGCATCACATGTGATGCAGCAGAAAACGAGTCCAAAGCCAAATCCAAGCCAGAGATGTTTTGCTAACACACAAACCACACTGTGGGTGCAGAGCCTGTTGTGCTGAGCCCTTCCAAACACAGCTCCACGTGTCCCCACTGTCCCCCCTCAGCACAGCTCCTGCTCCTCCAGCTGCCTCCTCCCTGGAACCGCCGTGAGCTGAGAGCAGCTCCCGGGGCTTCCAGGAGCATGGAAGGAGCGTTTGCTTTCTTAGAAGGGTCTGGGTTGGAAGGAACCTTAAAGGTCATGTGGGTCCAACCCCAAAGCCTCCCAGCCACCCCCCGCCCACCCGCTTGTGCTTCCTCTCTCCAACTTCCCCATCTCCCAAAACGGGAGAGGGAGATTCCCTGCCTGCCCCATGCCACATCCCCAAACCTCCTTTTATCCACCCTGAGAGTGTCCTCCTCACCCAGTGTCTTCTCTGGCAGGGCTCTGAGGGGTTTTGGAAGAGATGGGAATAAAGACGTGACCGAGAAGTTGAGATTTTTTTGAAGCCACGTCCTTCTATTTTGGCCATCTCCCTCCATCTCCCAGCCGTGCCACGGGGATCCCAACTGTGCCACAGGGATTGCAGAGTGCTTCCACAGGGACTCAGAACTGCCACAGTCAACCAGCTCAGAGAGGAACCTGCACCTGCCAAGGTGGGCTCAGCAAGGCCTGTTCACCTCACACCTTCAGCTCACAGTGAATAAACCAAGCCAGAGCACTAAAGGAGCCCTGGGAAATGCTGGAGAAGGCTGGAAAACAAGGAACCTTGAGAAAGCAGAAATACGAGGAAGAACAAGTAGAAATTCCTGTCAGAAACAGCCCTCACCAGGGCAGAGCCAAGTCAGAGTGAAAGAGGAATTGCGAGAGGGAGGTTTAACACATTCCCGAAGTTTGTGTTCAGCTCTTCCTTCTCCTCCTCCGGGGGAGGGAGGGAAGATCCCAGTCTCCAGCGCTCTGATGCAAACCACGTCCAGCTCCGAGCTGTTCGGTGTCAGAAGGATACTGGCAAATTGGAAGGGATTCAGGAAAACA